TTAAACCATTTGTTAATGCACGGTGTATATAACGACTGTATTATTTATAAAGCTGAACTCCAGGATACGAATATATCATCCAAATACAAGAGTCCTGTGTATCCTTCCTTGGTGAGCTTTGTCTATTTCTTCCACATCTGTGCAGTCATCTAATGTGAGACTTGGAGCTTCCTGTAATAAAGACCGCTCACTGCTGCTCTATCTCCTTGTGCAGGGTGACTGGTCTTGTCTCCGCCCTCTCCTGTAATAAAGACCAGTGGTCACTGCTGCTCTCTCCTTGTGCAGGGTGACTGGTCTTGTCTCCATCCCTCCTGTTGTGAAGACCGCTCACTGCTGCTCTCTCTCCTTATGCAAGGTGACTAGTCTGGTCTGGTCTCCGCCCCCTCCTATAATAAAGACTGGTGGTCACTGTTGCTCTCTCTCCTTGTGCAGTGTGACTGGTCTTGTCCCCGCCCCTCCTGTAGTGGGTGGGACTTGTTGAGTCTTTCCCACAGCTCTGCTCTCTGCACAGGCTATGTATATCACACGTATGATGTCGCTGCTACTATAACAAGGTAATATCTGGATTAATAAATACGTTTCATGCTCACAAACTGGATTTGTATCCTTTGAGGACTATTAAGGATTAGATTTAAATGAAAGTTTTTGTGCCCGGAGTTCAGCATTAAATAAAATACCTCGTTCACTTAACGCAGCTCTATAATCATTATTGTATTTTTGTTTAATACAAGCAGTGTACGTAGCTGAGTGAGACCTGGTATCAGCCTCTTGCAGTCCCTGTACAGCAGAGCTCAGGCTTGGTGGGGAAGAAGCAGCACAAACAGGCAATCATTTATTCTGACATGCCCATGTGATAACTAGGAACATTCTGCCAGTAGGAGAGAGCAGAGAGAAGAACTCATCACTGTGCTGTTTTTCCTTTCACTGACCATACACAGGGGGTGGGGAAGGGACGAGACCTGTAAATGTTACTGAACCGCAGCAGAGAAATATCAGGTCTCCTGCTCCGCCACACAGGACTGTGCTGCATGGCAGAGCAGTGTAAATCTCGGGACTCTATGGAGAAAAATACTAGGGCTGGTAATGATTAAAATGTTCGTGTTCGATTAATCAAATTTTTTTTTAATCGATTAATTATAACGCACCTACAGATCCAACTACATTGGCCTATAGACACACAGCACAGCAATAAAGTAATAAAATGAACTAGGATCACACTAATCCAGCACGTTATTAATCTCACGTGCCCCACTCAATATGGCCGCCGCTTGAGTGGGGCAACTCAATAATAAGGTGCTGGATTAGTGTGATCCTAGTTCATTGTATTACTTCATTGCTGTGCTGTATGTGTATAGGCCAATGCCTTGGCTGGCGCTCGTGCAGAAAGTTTCTTGGGCAAACTCACCGGCCCAAGTGGCTCCGTCGGCTAACAAAGGGGGAGGAGTCCAGTGACGTCATGGACATCAACGTCACTGGACTCCTCCCCCCTTCCCTACGTTAGCCGTCATGGACATGGACGTCACCGGACTCCTCCCCCACTCGCTTGGTTAGCCATCATGGACATCGACGTCACGGGACCCCTCCCCCCTTCCCTTCGTTAGCCGTCATGGACATAGACGTCACCGGACTCCTCCCCCACTCCCTTGGTTAGCCGATGGAGCCACTTGGGGAAGGGGTGAGGAGTCCGGTGACGTCACTGGATCGCCGACGGGACTCCGGGAAGCCGGCGGAGAGGTGAGTGTTTTCATTAGCGATCAAAATTATTTTAAACAATCAAAAAGTTTAACGATTAATCGAGAAATGAATCTTTAATTTCCACAGCCCTAAAAAATACAAAACTTTTTGGCACGTAAAACAGCTGCCATGTACAGTATGAGGGGAGTTTATCAAAACCGGAGCAGACAAAATCTGGAGCAGCCGTGCATGGCAACCAATCGGCTTCTCCGTCTTATTTTCAAATCTTACCTGAGCAAACTGAAAAGAGACGCTGATTGGTTGCCAAGGGCAACTGCTCAAGATTCCATCTGCTCCAGTTTTGTTCGATTCCACCCCATTGTATGTAATCTGCGCATTTAGCCATGTGCCTACAGGTTGGAAGAGGTGAAATGCGGACGCAGAGAGAGTGCGCGGGTTACCTGCAGGGAGGTGAGCAGACAGCTGGACACCAGGATCAGCAGCCAGAAATCCATGTGGAAGAAGTAGGCGATCTTGTAGGCCATGAACGTGGGGAAGACCAGCAGGAAGAGGCACAGGCTGAGCCCCCGCACGTGTTTCCACACACTTCTGACAACACAGAGAACCACAATATTAATCATCTGACCTCCAGCCTTCCCTTCAGGCCTGCACAGTTGTAGCGGCTCCTCTCCTGGGCTGGAATGGCTTCCTCTGATGTCACTGCGCACTGCGAGCGTCTCACAACGGCTGGTTGGAAAGAATTTTCACACAAATACAGCTTATCCTATGTGAATACTTTAAAGAGAACCTGTCCCCAGACCATTCATGTCAGCAAATATTTGAAATGTCTTCTATTCATGTTATTTACCTGTAAAGGGGGGATATGATCTCCATGTACAAAATGTTCAATGGTGGCAGCAACATTAGCCATAAACTGTTTAAAATTAACTCCATTACAAAAACTAGAGGCCACCACCTAAAATTAGGGGAAAAAAAATTCCAGCACAAGGGGCGAAGGGGGTTCTTCACAGTAAGATCAGTTAGGGTCTGGAACTCACTGCCACAGG